AACACTAAGAGCCCCACCTTCACATCAGTCCTACCATCAGAAAATTTTGAGGCACCCCTGAGGAAGCCAAAAGGCACCATGGTTGAGAAAGGCTGAGCTTAAAGCACTGTGTATTATAAATAACTGGCTTTTTCTAATAAAATAATTGCTTTAACCTTTTTTCATTCTTTGTAGCATTTTGGTGATGTTCTCCTGTAGCCTACATGCATGCACCCCAGCGTTGGCTACATGTCATTTACCGGGGTGAGTTTCCCGTTAAAGGAGAACTATGGGGTCAGTGTTTTTCCCCATAGTTCTCCTTAGGGTAACGGGAGGACACAAACTAGCGGACTCCCGTTACCCTAAGCTCAATATATACTGAGACGCCGGAGCGGATCCCGACGTAGATGACGGGATCCGCCAAGCTGCGTGAGTGACAGCTGTCTCTGCCTATCTAGAGGCAGAGCCAGCTGTACCCGCCCCCTCCCCCGTCCGTTCCGCCAGTCAGCGCTGGCAGATCGGAGCGGGGAGAGGGGAATCCAGCCCCTCCCCCTGTCACGGCAGAGAGCCGTGACAGGATCGAGAGGCGAGCGAACCCGGTATGTGTTCGCTCACCTCCCGATCTACTGAGCCGACCTGTGACAGTCTCATTGTCACAGGTCGGCTAGAACTATGAGGTGAGTGAAAAGCACTCACCTCATAGTTCTCCTTTAATAACAGTAGGCAATGTTTGTGTAATGTGTGTTGAAGCAGTCACTTGTAGTCTACAAGAGACATCTGAGTGATACTGCCCATTTCATTCATTTTTTTCACTGGATGTACCGCGGCCCCCTTCCCTCCTGTTTATGGGTGTCTCCTTTGCCTAGCAGGTTGCAAAGCAGACACCCGTTGCGTGCCCAGCTGGGAAATAAGCCGTGCTGTGTGCATGCATTGACACACAAAGCACTCGAAAAGTCACCCCCTTGTTCCCGCCTCCTCTCAGTATCTTGACAGGCAGGTGCAGCAGCCTATCACTGCCCTGCTCTCAGTGGCCTCTTAACCCAGAACTTTGGAAACATTGCAGATTGTCTCGGAGCTGGGGGCACTGAACATGGAGCATAGCTAAGTGTTTTGGGGGTAGGGAGCATGGAAAGGCAGTGGGGCATTTTTTTACCTTAATGCAGAGAATGCATTAAGGTTAAAAAAAAAATGAATAGCCTTTAGTACTACTTTAATGATTGGGTTTACATATACCTAAAAAATTTACTTTGGCTTAGAAGCAGAAGACCTATACACTACTAAAACACATGTGAAACACAGTACTATTATATGTATATTCTGAATTACAATAACCCTATAACAAATTGCAAAGAATTCAGTGTGTACAATTGTGATACAACTAAAAATGTTGGCATGGCAACTTACTTCCAGATGTCTTCTGAACTGTGACGGTAAAATTCAAGGTAAGCCCAGGCTGATCAGAGCTCCTTATGCTTGTGTCCACTATACAGTTTTGCAAAGAAAAGTTGAAGTTATTTTGTATATTTGCAGGTTGCTTATCATGCAGATTTAATGTTGACAGCTTTGGCAGATAGTATTGCACTTCCAGCACATTCTTGTCACACACTGGAATTGAATAGTTGACAAAGTTGACTGCTGCTGCATGACCAGGAGGCAAGTTGAACTTCCAAGTCATGCGTTCATTAGAGGGAAATGCAGACGGGTAATTTGCAGATAGAAGTGTTACAAGGAATTCATTCTGGAAATTTGATTCAATGATGCATAATCCTGTGAAGACAAAAACATGACAGGAAAGCACTGAAGAACCTGCTTGACTGCTAATTGTTATTGTATGCCCTGCTATATGTCGTCAAAGGTTACGTCCCACGTAAATCCAGGTCAACTATTAATAAGAAACTAAACATCTATATTGTACAGAGGTAATTACAGATGAACTTCAGGCACATATAGACAACGCACATTTATATAGCTCTGTATGCATTATGATATAATTTAAAGAGGTGGGGGCCAGAGATTAGGGTATTGAGGGGGCAAAGAAGGAGGGCTGGGGGTGAACTTGTACCCCAATTTCTTCTTAAATGGGCAGCACAGTGGCTTAGTGGTTAGTACCTCTATGTGGGTTTCCTCCCACACTTCAAAGACATGCTGGTGGGTTAATTGGCTCCTGTCTAAGTTGGCCCTGTATGCATGTATGCGAGATAGACATGTGCACTGCCAAAAAATTTGTTTCGTTTCATTTCGTTTTAAATTCGGATTTGTGTTATTTCGTTTTTCAGGATGCGGGTGTGAAATCAAATCGGATTCGGAATTCGGATTCGGACGAAATTCGGCAGCGTTAGTACGAATGTCCGTTTCGTTTTCTGTTCTTATTCGTTTATTTGTTTCGTTTGTTCGTTTGCAGCAAAGTGACATTTGAGGGGAAAAAAATATTTTTCTCCTTCTCTAATGTCACTTTGCTCCAACGAACTAAACGAATAAGAAACGAATAGGAAACGAACAGAAAACGAAACGAACGTTCGTTCTAACGCTACCGAATTTCGGAAATGCAAATTCGGATTCGTTTGCATTCGTTATATCTGTAATTCGGAATTTGGATACATCCGAATGTCCGAATTTCCGAAAATTCGTCCGAATTTCGATTCGGAACGAAACGAATCGCACATGTCTAATGCGAGATAGAGACCTTAGATTGTAAGCTCCTTGAGGGCAGGGACTGATGTGAATGTACAATATGTAAAGTGCTGCGCAAATTGATGGCGCTATATAAATACCTGTAATAGTAAATAAATGTAACTATTGTAAGTACATGATTTTGAATTGGTAGCAGCCTCTTCATGCATTCCCCTATACAACATTACTCAAGCTGGGAGAAGGAGGTACAGAAATAGGAGAGAGCAGATGCATAACCTTATCAGTCTCTAGTCCTTATTTACTTTCCAGTCAAAAGGCTGGAGGTGGAGAGAAAGCACCACTACTTATATCCCTATGCAGATTGTAAGTGTAACAGAGAAATAGGTGTCATCTGCTTGGTGTCATCTGCCTGGCTGTACTGTGCGGCAGGGCTGTGTAGATCCCAGAACTGGTGGGACAGAAATAAATATTTTGGCAGGTAAATGTATTTCACCGGTGTATTTGGCTGTTGAGCCTGAAACAACATATTGCAGCATAATTATCCAGCATAAAGCATATTCTTTGTACACTATAAATCAAATCACTAACTTCAAGAAAATAGAATATTCATACACGCAGGTAATGACACGAACACAAGAAAACTGTCCAAAAAGAATTCATATACATAGTTCTTCCCATTAAAATATTGCATATTGTTTACAGCTTACAGGTAGTAGAGACGTGACAACAGCCTTTCTAATATTAGAAATCTCCTTACACTGCTTTTCTTAACCCTTTCCCTGCCATGCCCAGCTGAACGCTTTACACCTCAGCTGGCTACACCATTTGTGCAATTTTTTCTATTGTTTTGATTTTTTTTATTGCTGCGTTGCTAGCGTTTGTAAAAGACCCCCCAAACCATTCATTTTCTGAAAGCTAGGGCCCGGTAGAATAAAAAGATGGTGCTACTAATTGTGTAGGTCCTGCTGTAATTGCGCAAATGTTTGTCAACTCAATAAACCGATAAAAAAAACCACACAATTAAATTGATAAAAGCGCACTAAAATCAGTATTGGTGCACACAAAAAAACCTTTTTTCGACAATCTCAGATTAAAAAAAACTGTATTGAGTTAATAAAAAAATTTGTAAATATTAAATTGTGCCTTTTTGCGAAACGGGAAAATGAATTAATGCAAAACTGTAAATAAGCAACTTAATTAAAAATTGTTTGTGCGCTGTGTTGTGTGGGTGTTGTGATAGATTGGTACAGGCACACAATTTTAATTGCAACACAGCGTGTCAACGCTTTGCCATGCGCTGCCACACAGTAAAATTAATGTTAATTTAAAAAGAAAAAAAAAAAATCAAGCACTGCAATACGTGTTTTTTTTTCTTTACTGTTGGGGGGGGCTTTGGGGACCCCTGACATTTCCCTTTTGAAATAAAAAAAAGAAATTGGGAGGACACAGACTCATCCATTTCTTTTTCTGCAGCATCTGTTCTGAATGAAAAGAAAGCACTCATTCATTCACAAACTGGTGATTGTAAACTGTGATTATGTGACACATTGTAGTCAATAAATATGAACTTGTATTTACGATGGAGTGCTAGCGACTTCTTTACCTGGATTTATTTTGCGGAGGCATCCGCTGTCATTTTAGCACCCATTTTTTCACTGGTCAGGAGTGCGATGGGCTTCTATGCGTTTTGCATGGGGGGACTGATATAAGTTAAACCCACCGACGTATGGCATACTGACAAGGCCAGCTGCAAGCAGTTGTGTTTCACCGTATGCCATACATCGGTGGCAGCAAAAGGGTTAAAGCAAACTATTCACTTAAATTTACCTGCTCAACAGTGACCATATTAAAGTCTGTGGGGCTACCCCCACACTGCAAGGACTAGGTGCTCGTTTTTTCAAGGGAGATAAAATAACAAAGATAAGCTCACCTAAAGCTCTGACAGAGACTGGTCCCTGCAGCCTAGCTCCCTCTTCGCTCTGGCAGTCTAAGGACTCATGAGTCATCACGTTCAATACAATGTATTGGGCGCGAGGATGCCGAGGGACGTTACACCACTGGAGCTGAGGGGGAGTGTGGCTGCAGGGACTGGTCATGCAGCCAGCTGGTTCAGAGGTTCAGGTGAGTTTATCTTTGTTATTTTAGCTCTCTGCACAAAACCAGCACTTAGTCCTTGCAGTGCGAGGGTAGCCCCACTGCCAGGTTTAAATTCTCTTATGCTCGGAAGATGTAGGATTTTTTGTAATTGCAATTTTCTATTTTTTGTGTACACTGTACAGCATGTGTACACACTCAGCCCAATTATGGCATCTCTAAGATGCAATGAATGGGCCAGGTGCTGAGGAGGATGTAACACCTGTATGCACAAGCACAAGTTACATCATCAGTGGCCATCCAACGGCCAAAGAGGACTTCCGAGAACCCGCAAGTGTCGACGGTAGATATGGCAGCAAAAGGGGACAGCGCCAAGGACCGAAGATCGATCCAACAGCAGTGGGGAAGGGCACACTTTTATGCTTTGCATACTTGCACGTTAGGGCAACAAAAACAACCCTTTACACAGCGATTTACTTCTGCTTTTAAATAACAACTTCAAGAATGTTATTAACCCGCGCACTGGGGCTACCCAGGCATTGCAAGGGTTAACTGCTCATTTAGGGCTAGGGAGGAAAATAATAAAGATATACCCACCAGATCTTCCAAGGCAGCTGGCTGTGACAGCGCTCCCTCCAGCCTGTTGCCTTCTCTGCTCCAGTGATGATATGTCCCTAACATCCTCTCATACTATAGAACACGATGGCTCCGGGACCTTAACCCCTTCATGACTGAGGCCCTTTTTTAATTTTTTGCACCCATGTTATATTCCACATTTTAGGCCTGAAAATGACTAAAAGCCCCCAACATTTTCTGAATGCCAAGACCCTATAGAATAAAATGGTGGTAGTTGCAAATTTTTATGTTGCGCAATATTAGCGCAACTCCTTATTAAACCAAACAGCCCCGATGCTGGCGACGTACACTGTACGTCGTCAGTCACGAAGGGGTTAAACCACTGCAGCGGAGGGGGAGAGAGAAGCTTCAGGGACCGGTCTAAAAAGGATCAGGTGTGTATAACTTTATATTTGGCCCTAGGCAAAAAACGAGCACCTAACCATTGCAGTGCAGATGTAGCCTCACTGCAAGGGTTAACATTTCTACCCAGCTTTAATGGATTAAAAAAAAAAAAAGTTAAAAAAAAGGTGAACTAACCCTATAAAATGATTAGCTTATAGACTTACAAGCAGTTTAGAATGTGCCTAAAAGAAAATACAATGGTCATGCACCAATTCCCTAAGCTGCACGAGTTTTTTAAATCATGATAATGTTCTCATCAAAACATTCAATGCACATACAGAAATATTGCATAGGTGTG